CCCCAAAACCCCAAAACCCCAAAACCCCTGACCCAGTCAATAACAGGAATTTGAAAGATATAAAAGTTTACAGGCAATAATAAATCATTTATTAAATAAGGAGAGATTAAGAAGGCCAAGATGTTCCAAGCAAGAAGCAAGATCATTAAGAAGGACGATGTAAGCTATCAAATGCTTCTTTGAAACTTCGTTTGACTGACTAAACTTTTAGGTTAAGCCCACCGATTTGGAGGATGAAGCCGCTAAGTGCCTATTATAACTAGAGATGAACAATGCCAACTTGAAAGAGCATTTAGCTCAGATCTTCATTAACAGTGCAGATTTAACAGAATACGAGCAACAAGACGGTTCAAGAAGCAAGTGCCTCCTCGTGAAGATTCCTTACAGATCAATCACTGCTTTCCACAAGGTTAGCGAAAAGGTTGTTCACCACCTCGAGAGCAAGTTCAACTGGCCAGTCATCGTTGTTGCTACCAGAACCATCATCTCAAAGAGAGGTAAGAATTTTTCAACTTCTCAAATTTAAAATCTTGCCCACATTGTTGGAACAATCGACCTTAACCTTTTTCTTGTAGCAAAGAGAAACAGAACTCAAAAGAGACCCAGAAGCAGAACTCTAACTGCAGTCCACGCAGCAATTCTCGAAGATATTGTATTATTTATTATAATTAAATTAATATTAAATAGGTTTACCCAGCAACCATCACTGGCAAAACCACCAGAGTCAGTCTTGACGGAAAGAAGCACGTCAAGCTCTTCCTTGACCCACTTGACAGAGAGAAGGTCGAGAACAAGCTCGATGCTATGGCTCAAATCTACCACAAGATTACCACCCACAAGATCAGCATCCACTTCTCCAAGCCAAACTCTTTCCAAAAGAAAGTTTTGGACAGCAAGAAACAATGAGCATCTTAGTAATCTCATTAATATTTGTTCCTCAAGTGAGCACTTCCAGCAATGACAACCAAAATACATATCGTTGAGGAATAAACTAATTTCAAATAAACTCTAAATACACTCAACTTTTTCTTATATGTCTTCTCTAATTTGTTATAATAGTCTTAAGGAAATATATAACTCAATTTTATAAAAACTTTATAATTAATTATCTAACTAAAATGACTGATAATTCTATCAAGAAGTGGGACAATGACATTTATGTGTTCGATGTCACCGAAGCATCAAGAGTTAAGAACCCTTGGTTGGAAGATTTTGGAAGAGATAGATTTACCTACGAGCCAGAGTATCCATTATTGACAGCGATTGACGCAAGAATTAATGAAGCTCATTATGCTCATGGTTACCCATACACCTCATGGCTTTAACTTTCCTTGGTTTATGCAGCTGGTCTTTACACAGCCAAAGAGCAGGGTATTGTGAAGAAGGGTGTTTACTTCCAGAGATACTGGAGAGCTCACTACTTTGACTGGCTAATGTTCATTAGAAGAGCTGGTATTTACGGAATCGGTGGAGGTCTTGTAGCAGGCACATATTTGTTCGGTTCACCTAGCATCTCAATGAGGAGAATTGTAAATGGTTATCACTATTACTTCACATGGTAAACAACAGACCCAAGAAACACAGATACTCAGCATTTCATTAAGAACAATAGCTGAACAGCCAAGCATTTATAATTACTTAACCAGTTTTAGCAAAAACTTGGAGAAGTATGCAGTGTCTTTTCTAAATCAAGAAAAGAGATTATTTAAATAAAAGTTCACTCATTATTTTCATTTTACAAATCTATAATATCTAAATTATAATCATCAATTCGGCTTAATGGGGTTTTGGGGTTTTGGGGTTTTGGGG